CGATGAGATATGCTATATCCAATTACATACCTGCACCAGAGGGGATGAGTTTTTAGACGCGTTCGAGGTTTGCGCTAACTCGTATTGATGAAAATAGAAACACCATTAACGAGCCCCGGGACTTTAGCGAGATCTTGTTAATTGTAGTACGTGTTTTCTAGCGGTGATGCTGCACGCTTTTAAAACGAGAGAGACGCGATCGTTTCACCGTTTGGGATGGTAATTAGCTTGCTATTAAATTTATATTATATTTTCAGAACAGAGAAGCAGGTGATAAATTGCGGATTTCTAGGCGAATAATAATAGTAATGAATATTCTTATTTTACATATTTCTTTGTACTGTGAATGCATGAAGAACCGCAGTTTAGTGATAATATAGAATCTTGTCTCATTCTCGGAAACGTTTTCTCTAAAGTTTTCATCGGTACTGTTGGGAATGAACTCTTCTGTTTCAGAATGTAGATTTCATGTAATTAGTATTGTAGCCTTGTAATTTATGTGCAGCTTCTTACTCGTTTAAAATACTTTTAAAATATCCTTACTAATATATCAACGTTTCTTCACTATGCTATAAAATCTTTCTTTTAGAAAAACTTTAGAGGCTAACGATTCCCATTGAAACATTATTCTCAATAGTACCATTTTGTCACTTCTTTCTCTACGATATTTACAACATATATATGTAAGAAGTGTAAGAAAATAGAACGATTAGAATGCCCTTATAAGCGGAGACATTTATAAGTATAAGCACCCAAAGATACACGAGCCCGATACGTTGATAACGTGATAATGTGATCACGCTATGCTGAACACTAGGCCAGAGATATAGGTAATAAAATGATACACGTTCTCCGTGTACGGTCATCGACACGTGCTTAAAATCGGCTGCCTGCCGCAGCGTATACACGCGTGTGTTCCGGAGTTAATCTTGAACTTCTCTTACTTTTATAGTCGCTGCCTGGCAAATGGTTATGCATAACTTGGTGTATTGCAGATACGTAAAATAAGTAGAGCGTACAAGCTTAAGAGAGATGCTCATTGTTAAGAAATACGCAGTGACGATGCTGCCAAGCCATAAAACACGTCAACTCGCTCCTAACTTCTATCCACCTCGATGTACTTTCTTCCTTCTCCCTCTCTTTCTCTTTCTCTCTCTTCTTTTTTTCATTTTTTATGGATTAATTTATTATTTTATGTACGTAACGTATTTCGTGCACATGGCGTTAACGTTAGCGCATGATACGAACGATCGATGTTATTTACTTCGTTGAACATGGCGCGCGTACGATTGTATTTTTTT